AACGCTACACATAGAAACTGATGATGGTGGAAAACACCGAAACGTATTTTAATTGATAAATAGACAATAAATGACTGAAGCCCAGGAATTGATTTCGATTTGGAATTTAAGAAGAAGTTAAACTTTTTCACACTTTTTGATAGGCCTGGGTAACTCAGTGAATTTTCTGGAGTTGGCGCATGGCTTCCTGCGCCAACCCAACGGACCGGCGCAGTAACGCAGCTCCGTTGCTGGGAAAATGTTGATGACTTTTCTACTTGTTTCAGATTAGTTTTAAATTTACTTTTTGACGTAACCTCGAATTAACCGACAAAAAGCGAAAACCCGATTTTCCAGTATTGAATGTTTGCTCCCTCGTTTGTTGCGAGAGATTCAGTTTTTACCTGCCGAATTGTTGGTCATGTGCGCAATGGCCAAAAAGTACTTCTGACACTCCAGCGACGTTTCGAGCTGGCCAAGGGCCAGATGGGCGAGGCCCAGATTGCAGTAGGCCCGGCCCATGTTCATTTTGTCCTGCAGATCCTTGGCCAATGCCAGATCCTGGTCGTAGTAGCGCACCGCCTCCCTGAAGTTGCCGATGCAATAGTGCGCATAGCCTGCAAGAAGTGGGAGGTTTGGTGCGGGTTGCCAGGGCAACGGGCACAGGGCCGTCTTACCCAAGAAGTGACAGGCCTTGGCCTCGCCCTCCACATCGGACAGTTCTTGCGACAGCATCAGGTACTGTTCGTAGTAGGGAATGGCCTCGGCGAACTCCGCCCTTGAGCTCAGGCAGTTGGCGAGATTCAGTAGGGCGCAAGCCTCCCCTGCGGTGTCCTTCAACTCCCTGGCAATTCCTGGAAAGGTCGTTAATCAGCGCTGTTGCGCATTGGGCGGGTTCCGTTGGGGCTTACCCAGATGGGCCCGATAGTGCAACAGCGCCATATCGTGGGCCCCCAAAGCCTGGTAGCCCACCGCAAGGTTGCCATGGGTGCTGGCCTCTGAACTTCTGTCGTGCACTTCCTGCGAAATCACTCACTGAATCCTCAAGCCCAGCGTTTTGAGTTTGACTTGGCAACACCGATTTTCTACCTTACTGATTGTTAGCTCCTGCTTGTGGTATTTAATGGCCGAATCGTAGAATCCCGCAGCCGAGTAGGCGTTGCCGATGTTCCCATAGGCCCTGCCCATTCCTGCCCGGTCCTGCAAACTCCTGGCTATCGAAAGGTGGGCCTGATGCAGTTTCAGGGCGGCATCGTATTCGCCTGCGGACAATCCGGCAACGTTAACTCCTCAAGTGGGGGTTTTAAGGGCGGGTTTTACCCAAAAGCTGATAAACAATGCCCAGATTGCTGCAGGCTCGTCCTTCGCCGATCTTGTCGCGGGTGGCCAGAGCGACATCCAGTTGTCGTTCGTGCCACTGTTTGGCTTGCGCGTAGTCGCCGGCGCATCTGGACGCGTGTCCCAAACCCGCGTAGGCTCTGGATTCTACCGATCTAGAGCGCAGGGTTAGTGTGGGGAGGGTGAGAACGGTGCCACCTACTTGTCTCCTATCGACTGCGCCAGCCTGAGCACCTTCTCGTGGTAGACGATGGCTTGCGCAAAGTTCCTCTTGTAGTGGTGGCACGAGCCTAAGTTGCTGTAGGCTCTGGCTTCTTCCACCTAGGGACACCACGTGGTGTTACTTTGTGGGGTTGAGACGCTCGGTATAGGGGGGAGTGGGATTTGTAAAGGCAAGTACTGAAAACTCGCAAATGCGGTTGTCATTCTGGAGCGCAGCGCGCGTCGGTTCTCTCTGTCGCCCATGTCGGAGACAAGAGAGATGCGCGATGTCCTGGCGGGAGCTGCGTTCGAATTTGATACTTTTTTCTACAACTTTTTGTTGATAGGTTCTATATTGTTGAGGCGGATTCATTTTTTTACAAACTTCTTTTTGGGTATTTTGCCTCAAAATTTTTTTTCTTTAAAAAAGACAGGATTTCCTCACGTCTTTTATTACAGATTGATAAATAGTGCTCCTATTTCGCAATAAGAACGAATTATTTATCAAAAAGTAATCACCTAGAGGGTAT